CTGGGCACACTGCTGGCTCATGCTCATCCAGCTGTCCATCCACACTCCCAAATCCCTCTCTGCTTGGCAGCTCTCCAGCCACTCCTCCTCAAGCCTGTAGCACTGCTAGGGGTTGTTGTGGCCAAAGTGCAGGACCCAACATTTGGCCTTATTGAAGCTCATGGAACTGGCCTTGGCCCAGCAATCCAGCCTGTCCAGATCCCTCTGCAGAATCTCCCTACCCTCAAGCAGATCAATACTTCCACCTAGCTTGGTGCTGTCTGCAAACAGTGTCAAATGCCTTACTAAAGTCAAGGTAGACAACATCCACAGCTTTCCTTCATCCAACCAGCAGGTCACCCTGTCATAGAAGGAGATCAGGCTTGTTAAACAGGATCTGCCCTTCATAAACCCATGCTGACTGGGTCTGATCACCTGGTTATTCTGCATGTGCTGCATAATGGAACATGGGATGATCTGCTCCAACAGCTTTCCTGGAACTGAAGTCAGGCTAATAGGTCTGTAGTTTCCTGGATCATCCTTCTATCTCTTCTTATAGATAACTGTTAGACTGGCTGACTTCCAGTCAGCTGGGACCTCCCCAGTCTGCCAGGACTGCTGATAAGTGATGGACAATGTTTTGGTGAAAACCCGTGCCAGCAATCTCAGTACTCTAAGATGTATGCCATCTGGCCCCAAAGTCAGTAAAACTAGCTGGAAAATATGCATAAAAAGCATTTATTTTGAGATTGTACACACCTGATATGGCTTTAAAACATCTCCCATATTTCCTGTTTAGGGCTTATTTTGCATGGTTTTGACTTGCCACATACCTGCTTCCATGCATTCTGACTTTTCTTCTGAGTGCAGTAACCCCTTGGGAATAGCTGCCTTTGGTATCGCAAAAGCTTCCGTCTACTCGGTGTACAGATCCTCACCCATTGTTTGAGACTTCCTTCAGGCGGGCTGGACTAGATGGTCTTTTGAGTCCCTTCCAACCCCTAACATTCTGTGATTCTGTGATTCATCTAAAGCAGCTCCATCCCAGCTCCTAAGATCTTTGCCATACCCAACAACTCATCCTCTTCTTTATACCAAAATGTTTTAAAGCAACGATCAGCTGTTTGCCAGACCTCTATGATGATTTTAGTAGGGGAAAATAGCCTTGATAGTGATGTTACACCTGAGGGGAGTGGAACATCTCCCTTATGAGGAAAAGCTGAAGGAGCTGGGTCTCTCTAGCTTGGAGGAGACTGAGGGGTGACCTCATTAATGTTTATAAAGATATCAAGGGGGAGTGTCAGGAGGATGGAGCCAGGCTCTTCTCAGGGATGTCCAACAGTAGAACAAGGGGAAATGGGTGCAAGCTGGAGCATAGGAGGTTCCACAAAAACGTGAGGAAAAACTTTTCCACTGAGGGTGACAGAGCACTGGCACAGGCTGCCCAGAGAGGTTGTGGAGTCTCCTTCTCTGGAGACATTCAAATCCCCCCTGGACGTGTTCCTGCATGACCTACTCTAGGTGATTCTGCTCTGGCAGGGGGGGTGAACTACGATCTCTAGAGTTCCCTTCTAACCCCTAACATTCTGTGAGCAGATGGATAATGTTCATTTCATAGTTGTTCTCATTATTTCTGCCATTTTAAGCTGTGCCTGTGACTGGATGGTGTGAAAACAAGAAATGCCTGTCAGAAATTTTTCCCTGTTTTTCCATGAGGCCAAAACCTATTTTTAGTAGATTCTTAACTCAGAAGCTTGAGTGAAAATAAGTTTATGAAACACTAAAATAACTTCAGTAGCGCTAGAGATTTATATTGCTAGATTTAAAAGAAAAAAAAAAAAGGGAAAAAAAACCACAAAAAAGCCAGAAACATTTGACTGTTGCCATCACCATAAAACCACAGTATCTTAAGGCACTTTCAGGTCGCTTCAACGTTGCCTGTGTACAGTTCAGAGGCAGTGAGTCACAATTATGGCAGGTACCCTCAGCAATAACCTTAAAGACACGAAAAAGGTCCCCTGCCAGAATTAAATGCGGTCCCTGAGGTATGGCATGGAATTACCTGGGCCCTGCTCTCTCTCTCTCCTACTGTATCTGATTTTTATCATTACTTCCATCCTTCTGTGCTCACGCCACGTGCATTTCCTCTCTTGCAGGCTTCGTTGCTAAGCAGCCTAAGCTGCAGGCATGGCTTTAGCCCGTGTCTGAACATTAGGGTACAACCAAAAACCAGACTTCCCTCTCCCCTGCCACAACTTCCACTAGCAGGCAGAATAAGATTCTGTTGTAGAGAAGAGTGTGTGACGTGCAACAGATCTTCTCTTGGCAGGTAGCTTTTACACCCCTGCTAACAGGAGCTGAAGGATACTGGTGTTGAGAATGGAAGTGCTCTGAGCTTTAGTAAATCCTCAGAATTTGAATTAAAAACATGTTGCAATCCCCTGCTAGCTTCAGCTATCAGGTAAGTGTGAGGCCAACACCAACACCTTCCGACCGTGCATGGCTTTAATCAAATCTTGTCAGTTTTCTTGAAAAAAAAAAAAAGAAAAAAAATGCCATTTTGAAATACCCTTCAAAAAAACCCCACCTGGAAGCCAGAACAGTTTGCAGCATACACAGAGCACCAGCAACCACCTAAGAACATCAGGTTACCTGGCACCACACAACACAGCTGGCAGGCACAGACTGGGAAATAATGCACTATAAAAAAGACCCAAGTACAAGGGGGGTTTATCCCTTCTTATAGTTGCCTGAGGTATCAGCAAGGAGCTGCAGATAAACAACAGCTGGACTCAGGTAAGAATATCTTCCCTAGAAGGTCACTGCTGAAGCCAAGGAATATGTAATGTATGTATTCACTTTCTTCCCCTTGAACCCAAAATTTCATTCTGTTATTAAAAACTTGTTTAGTGTGGGTTTCTCCTGGTTTAGGTCATTTTGGAAGGGACAAGTAGCGTAGCTTCTTCTGAGGCCACCCTAACACCCCCACAAGTGAATACGCACACCTGGGCTAGCTGAGGATTGCATTCAGTATGAGGAGATTTTACATGGGGGGAAGTTTATACTGTCTCAACACCAACCAACTAGCCTTGGATTAAGTGCAGACAGCTTGGACATTTGAGTGTTTGTCACACCTTCTCCTCTTCTAACTAAAATAAGTTTATTCAGCAAATTGTGGCTCCACAGTGTCAGACTGGACATTACCAGAAGCACAGTGCAGCACTGGAACGCGTCATACAGGCATTAACTTTTTGCTCAGAGAACTTTGAGTGTCCTTTGAAAATAAGTTCTATAGAGGATGCCACACAACTTGTAGAGAAAGTTAGTGATCAGTTCAGTCCATTTAGTCTTCCAGCAGAACATTTTATTCTCATTAAGGACAAGGAAATATCAACCAACAGCTCAATTAACATGACACAGATTAAACAAGCCCTGTTAAGCATTTTCTACTTAACATGTGAAAAAAGAGTCTAAAGACATCTGATGTGTCCAAACTGTTCACATTAAAACTTGAGCTCATCCTTTAGCATAAGCTCAGCTGATGTTGCTCCTGTGTATAGCAAGAGGTGGAAACAATTTAAGTTACCCGAACAGCTGTGTTTGACAAGTACTGAAGCACTGGAGTTTAAACTGCAATTACTGGTGTGCTATTAGATTGCTTTCCTTGCATCTCTTCAGTCTCAGGCAGACTTGCAGAAAGCCACAGCAGAAAAACGAACTTCTCCTTTTTCACGTTCTGTAAATTGTCTGCAGATCTTAGCAGAATCCTTGGGAAAAGAAATAATAAAGCAGCGTCTGTTTAGACTGTCAGAATATACTTGTAAAGATCAAGTCTTTGCAGCTCCTCTCTGGCTTCCACCACCAAAATTACTTGTCTCGTACCACAGATATCTAGTTCTGTGATGATACTGCCTTGTTACCATGGTCTAAGAAGCACCAACTCGTACAGCAAGTAGGTATAGCCATTATACAGCAAATACAGGCCTCACCCTTTTTTAAGCCTTGTTTTCAGGAAAACAGGCAGAAAGGGAGAAGTCTTACCTTCAATAGCAAGTCAGCTGAGCTTGTGCCATGGTTTACAGGAAATGGCATACGCCCATCTGTGAAGAAAAGTCCTATCACTCAGTGTACTTAATATTACTTCTGAACTAGCAGAACTGAGCATAGCGGGCCCAAGAAACAAGTAACACACAGAGATACTTGGGAGGTTAGAACAAATTGTCAATACGAGCTTGAGTGAGATGGAGACCAAGTATTCTCTGCTCTACAGGAGATGACATTTTACAAGAGGGCCTAGGCCTTCACAGCACAACTGACCTTCAGCTGAAGTCTTCAAGTGAAAGTAAAAATTACATATTGGATTTGAGAGCTTCTGCAAGCAGCTTATCTAGCACCAAGTACCTAGCCTGAGCCCCCAGTGCTACTGTACAGTGTAAAGTAGTTCCAGTCCAACTGCAGAGCTCTCAGGAACTTACCCAATTCATAAAGATGTCCATCCACATTGACAAAGAGGATGAAGTGGAAGTTCACACTGTTGTCCTCAACCTTAGAAGAGACCATTAGATACATGTGGTGTATTGAAAAAAGCCTCGTACTGTGAGCCTTACTTGTGCACTACAGGACAGAGATGTCACCAACAAAGCAACAGCAAGGGACTAAAAACTTAAGTTCAACTGAAGAGGTCTCTGCAAGACCTCTCTACAAGGTCAAGGACCATAAGTCCTAATGTATGATTACATTTTCAGTCTGTATCTGAACCCAAATTTTCAGTCCATGTTTGAGGAACAAACCCTTGCACAAGCATTCATCTATGAGTCGCTCATTTCTCTTGCCTCACAAGATATAATAGCTCTCTACTGAACAAAAAAATTGTACTGCTCTATCACCTTCATTAATCCCTTCTCCCAAGAATTTACACATTCATCTCTTACCCGACATTGTCCTTCTTGTGCAACTGCATTGTGGATTTCCTGTATAGCCTTAAGAGAAAGCAGACACAGGTTACTACATCATTAAGTGTCAATAGTCGTCAGCAGTTTCTGTAGTTCATATACCTTATTATTTGCAAAGTGTTTAGCTCTCTCCTCGGGAGACAGATCAGCTGTTTCATCAAGAAATTTCTTCAGGGCAGACCCCTCATCTGCAAAAGATGATCAAATATTTTATTCAGTATCGGTAAAGAATCTCACAGTAAGCAAGGCTTGTTGCATTAACCAGGAGTCACCGAATTCAGCCTGGAACAATCTTCAGCACCTGCACATTATAATTACCACTTGAAGTAAGCTATTCATTCAGAAGCTATTAACAACAATCTATACAAACAGTCAGAGCATCAAGTGCTTCAGGGCACTCTGGACGTTTTTCTTGGAACTAATTTTCAAATGGGATTTAGCTTTTCTGATTTCCCCTCCCTTGCAGATTTAACCGAGGTGTTAAGTCTTGTTTTGAAGAAATCCAAGAAAGGTGCCAACTGTAAGGACACTTAAGTATCAACTATAAAAGAATACGGGTAGATGAAATTAAGTTGCCTCACTGCCTTCAGGTGAACACAGCACTTGCTCACGATAGGCTTACTTTGGTTTTCTAGAACAAAAGCTAGTAGCACAGCACTGTGATGTGCCAAGTTCTAGTCTTACATGAAAAATGTGCTGCATCATTCTTTTTCATTCATCAAGAGCATGCTATTTCAGAGAATTCTTTCAGGAGTAAAGCAAAGCTACTCTATTACAGCCTTCCAGATGTTTTTTCCTTAAACCCTAAAGGGTTTAAGTTCTCCTGGAATAATGAAAGTTGTATTTTGCAGATCTCTAGTCTTTGAATAATAAAATATTTCCTGGATTCTGTGACAACCCGTTTTTGACAAGAATTTGTAATCCTATTTCCTAGGAGTTTCCTGTCACCAGTTGCCTAAGCCAGCTTTATATCCTCTTCTACAAGAAGGGAACCATCAAAACTACTACCTCTGCAGGAGGAGTCTACTTACAAGTCCTTATTCTTTACTGCTTTCCCAGCAAAAAGAAAGCATGTTTTAGACCAATTTTCAGGCTACCCTGAGCAAGTCTGTTCACAGTAGACATTAGCAGCATGAAGAACTTTCTCTCTTCAACTAACACTAACACCAATGTCAATAGCTACTTCGGAACATAATTACAAACAGACTTTGGCCAGTCCTACTACGTAACCTTTTCCCCTTGCACTGCTCACTGGCATAATACCTCTGGAGCTACCAGATAGGAGTTAAAGTACATACCCTTCTGCAATTCAGGCAGTAGATGAGACCACGTCGCTGTCCAAGAGCTGCAAGACCCACTTACCAACTCAAGCAGTACAGCACACCTTAACTTGGCTTGTATGAAAGCCCCAGGTGTCTCCAGTAGCCCATACCCACTCAATCTTCCCATCACAAAAAAATGGAAATTCAAATACTTCAGAACATTCATACTCACCAAGTTTCAGTTTGTCTTTATTATTAGCAACTGCATGTATCAGACCAATTGTCCCACAGGAGTTACTGACTGTCTGCTTCAGGAAATACACCTTGGAACTGATTTCTTGGTCCTTTATTTTCTCAGTCTGTTGTTTCCTGAAGTTCTCATGCTGTAAACATGTAACTGTTTTAGGCATTTCACCACAGTGACATCTTTTTATTGTGCAGACTACTAGATAAATGAGTTGTGCAGGAGAATCAACACCAGGACTGAACAAAGATTTACCCAGAAAGTCATCTTTGTGGCAAAGGTTCAGTAAAGCATCATATGTGTATACTGGATGCAAGCCAAGTCTTAATGGGCTACCTGCATGACTCAGTCATATCCAAAGGCACTGTTCTTAGCCTCTCCATCTGTTCTATACACTGGAAATAGCTTAGGGTAGGAAATCATATCATGGATAGGCTCTTCTATATCCTTTCTCAATTGTTTTGGTCCATTAATGGGACTACTCAGCATGTCTCTGCAATCGGCTGCTTTTGTACCTTTATGTTAATTCCCTTCACGAACCCCTCCCCCATCAAATCAATGCATAGATAAGTGTAAAACCCTACAGAAAAGCTATAATCCTTCCTTTGAAGAACCTGTTAAATACACTTTATTTCAAACTCCACCTCCCCATCTACCTCCTCAGCATCAATGGAATGTTTAGATGCCATAGGACTATCTATATATATATTAGTCATACAGAAGTAATTTAGGCCTCTTCAGGTGCAATGATTCAGCACGGTAAGAGATCTGCTGTTTCTCACACTCAGCACTGCTCCTGCTTTCCTCTTCAGTCTGATACACAAAGCAAAATCTAAGAATAGTATTGGAATAAGAAGGTTTGGTTTCTTCCTCAGTTCGTTTTAGTTCAGGCTATTTGGAGGCTGGGGCCAAGCACCCACCCACCCCACC